ATTAGCAAGAATACCTGTGTGAGCAAAGTGAGAGGAGGAAGTGGTAGAAGAAGAGGCTATGGAAGTAGAGCTATCAAGCTGAGCAACCAAACACCCAAAGATGAGCGCCAGTGTCACTAGGGGAACAAAAAGAGGCCTTTGACACATGCGCTTGGGAATGCACTATACCACCACGGCCACCACCTTGCTCTGGAGTAGTGAGACCATTCAACTTCCAACAATACTCTTTGTCATGCCATTCTTTTCCACAATAATCACACTTACTCCCAGACTTAGGCTAAACTGGTTTGCCATCAGGTGAAAGCGTAAGATCAACCAAAGCAGAATGGTCTTGACTAATGGAGTGTACTATAACATTATGTCGACTCTTTCCTATTGAACAATGGCATAAGCCTTTTCTCAAGGTGGGAAAAGGATTGCCATCCAATATCTGAACCCGAATATGAACATGCTTGAAATTAAGGCTAGCAAGGAAATCATAAACCCAATCCTTCTCTACCAGGCACTTTGAAACATAGCTGCATCTGTGCAACAAACAACCTGAAAGTTCTGCTAATAGTTAAGCTCTTGCCACAAGTTGCTCAACTCGGCATAATACACAGCAAGAGACTGATCCTTCTGATCTAACCCATTACTTTTCTTTCTCAAATCATGCTTAAGCATCATCACCCTTTTGAGATTAGGTTTGAGTTGCTGCTGTCCAAATCTTATGCACAGTATCCTTAATAAGAAAGTACAACTAACAGTAGGCTGCATGGAGTTAACCAACTAGGTCATGACGAGCATTCTCTGACAAACATTTATTGCATGTAGGTACATATTCAAGACGATCCTTGAGAGCCCTAGTAGCTATGTTGTTAGAATTGTACGATTCTCGATTTGAATCGTACAATTTGGTTCGATGCGCATACAAATCGATACGACTTGGTAGAGAGAATCGTAAAGGGCAATGAATCGCACCTGTATCGTTGAATCGATCACTGAATCATAAGAATCACAGAATTGCATGATTTCTGATTTCTCTGATTTCTGATGCAATCGTGGGTAACCCCGCAACCAGTCGGACCCAAATGGATTTCTCTGATTTCTGATGCAATCTTTTTACTTTATTTTGCTGGAGAATGGATCGACTAGGTCTTCTAAGACCTTTTGAGTTATTATATAATAATACCATTGTCTTTTGGTTTGCCTATTAACTCTTGAACGACAAAACCCTAGAAAAAAAATGTTTTTCCCTTTCTCTAGTTACAAAGAAGTAGCTTTTGCTGTTGGGTCTTGGCACCTTCAACTTTAATTGAATCTTGAAGCTACAACAAACTTTTTTGAGGTGTTGTGCTTGGACTTTGAGCTGCTATTGGTCCACAAACTCCATACGATACTGTTTGTTGTACAAGAATTGAATTGAATAGTTTATAGTTTGCCCACTTTGAGCCTTTTTATTACTTTAGTACCTTTGTTATTGCTGTCACTGTGCTATTGGTGTTGGAATTTGGAGTTTTGAGTTTTTACTTTATCAAGATTAAAAAATGATTGATAATTTTTTTTATTTTTTATTTTTTTACCTTTTATATACATCTACAAATTTAGTATATTTTTGTATTTATTTTTTATTTTTAGAATCTATCACAAATATTTTACCTTTTAAGTACACACCTAGATTAGGTACATCTAAAAATTGAAAAATAATAATCAAAATATGAAAAAAAAAATTACTAAAAATAACACAACACAAAACGAAAAACTAAACAACATTTTCGTTGAGTTTAGTCTAAATATTTCATATTTGTAAGATAAATGTAATATTTAAGTGTGTAGATATGTTTTTTAATCTATTTTTTTAAAATGACCGAATCTTTTTCCATTTGATTCGCTATTCGGTGCAAGGACATTTCGATTTACGATTCGAATCCCGATTTGACAACTATGCCTAGTAGGATAACTCGTTAGGTGATGAGCAGTAATAGCCAAACTACAGGAACGAGACAATATCAAATAGTTGGTGCCATCCAACTTAACTAGCTAATCTGAAGGGATGGGCTATCAGCAAGAGTCCCAACACAACCAGCTCTTCTCACTACCCTTGGGGGCCTAACTACCTTTTGCCATGTCTACAGAATAATATGGGACAATTACCCAACTGGTTTAACCCCCCACAAAGGCAACAAACTCCAAGTAATTCTCACTAAAGCAACAAGAAGAGCTTAGGTAATCATAAATAGATGGTATAGGTTTGAAATTGGAAAACCCAATAAGAAAAAACCTGTAGAGGACCAAAGAACCCCTAAACCAAACCTTGTAGGAGCCAAGAAATCATTCAAAACTGAAAAATAGGTCTGGGAAGAGATCCAAAAACCCTACTTGGCACCCTCTGATGGTTATCCAAGCCCGGGTGCAGTTGAAATCAAGCCCAATCAAAGATAGCAAAAAACTAACTATTTTCCCTTTCCCAAAAAATTAAGGAAACAGGAAAAGATTATCAAGTAAACTAGGAAAGTTTCAGAAATATCAACATTGGAATCTCCTCTGAAATAAATCTGTTTTTCTAAAAAATTGATATATTATGAGAGAGAGAGAGAGAGAGAGAGAGAGAAATATTATGAAGAAGAAGAAGAAGAAGAAGAAGAAGAAGAAACAAATATATGGCCAGAGAGAAGACCTAAAACTTAGGTTTATCACATAAACACATGTATTTGTATTGAAGTGGTCTAAAGTACACAATTAACCCTTATACTACTAAACCTATAGCATGTAACAAGTTCTTAGACCCTTTGTCTGGATCAGTGGACTCATCATTGTGACTGGACTCACCTTCGCCCTTACTGTTTGCATCAAGAGGTCCACTGGATCGTCTTTTCTCCTCATCAACTATTCGAAAGAAGCAAAATTCCCTTTCAGAGCCTCAATCTCGTTCTCTAAAGCAGCGAACTCCTTAGCTTGTTCTGGTGAACAAATACTAAACTCCTTAGCTTGCTCGTTCTTTAGTAGTGGAAGCTTTGTGGTGATACGTCACAATCGTTTGTTTTACTGGCACAAACTGAATCTGTTTCACTTGAGTATTCCTCATCCAAATTGTTTTCAAGACTCTTGAGGAACTCAATCCTGTGATGGAGGATTTGTGCAATGGAATCCAATGAATTGTTTGGCGAAGATGGTCTTTGTGGTTCTCGGAGGCTCGTTGATCAACAGATAACCATTTGTCCCATCCGCAACATAATATTGCTAATACAAATCCTTCAATGAGGTCCTCTTAGCTGAATTCTTCTTCTTTTCCATTGAAGATCTCCTACCTATGGTTACAGGAAAATATCTCCAGAGGGGGATTTCTAGGGAGAGAAAGGTAGAGATAGAAATCATTTTGCATATATTCTAGCAGGCAGTTGGATCTTTATGATATTCATGACCTGAAAATATTTGATTACTTCTTTGTATAACTTGCAAAGGTATTAATTTTAGGACATTAAGGCATGTGATGATTATTTATTCAGTTCTGCCAAACACCTTCAACTTGCTTAAAAAAACAATATGTGTGCTGGTTTAACTCTCCACCCTACAGGCACATCAACAAGAAAAGCGAACCAAATTTGTTTAAAGCTGCTTCATAATTTCATATTTTTTCATGTTGAGCGTTGTAGCGTGTGAATGTTAGGGACAGCTTTTATAAAATGTAAATTTTACACCTAGTAAGGTAGTTCATGCCCTGATTTATGCTGGGAAGTGTAACTGGAACAGTCTAAATATGGTAAAGGAAATTTGCACCAAAAGGGAATGGCCTAAAACAGCAAGTGGAGTTGGAAGTTGGTAATACATTGAACTAAATAAAAACATTTTTGCTATTTTAGACAAGAATTCAAATAGAATAGAAGAGAATTGGATATGATAATCTAGAACAAAGTTTGATTTAGATTCCTAGTTCTAGTCTAAAAATTTATTATTGTCAAGCTACAACAATTGTGCCTATTATGGCAACTAAAAGAATTATTGAAATGAGCTGAAATGGAAGAAGTACCCATGTCGGACACTCGACACTTGGATAAGTGTATGATTTAGGTTTCTGATGTGTGGTTAGACATTCACCTAGCAGACAGATTTACGCATGAAACCAAATTATGATTCTGACAATGCATAAACCCTAAAATATGCGTGAAATGCTCTATGGCTGCTTGTGAACACTATTTTACCTTAGAAAGTAAAAGAAGAATATTAAAGAATAGGAATACTTTTGCTGTGTCCACTTGAACTTGGACATGGGAATTAGATGTATTGAACAATTAGACACCTACACTTGTAACCAAGTTCATGCAACATGTGTTTTTCTATTGTTTCACAATGTAAAGAAATAACATCTACTAGTGTCGGTAAATATATGTGCAACTAAAATAGGTCCGCAACACTTCTGGAGATTGGACTGTCTCCTTTAGTTTGTTTAGAAACTAGGCATTGTGGTCAAACCTCTGTGGATACAACATCCAAAAATCTTGTTTAGGCTCAGCTAGGAAGTACAACAATCAATATTGCAACTGGGAAGGATGGTTCCTGCTAAATGCTCATTGGCTGTGTATTTTGTTTTGGCGTAGACAATATAGTTGGTTTGCAATTTCCCAGGCACTTCTTGTCACACCTTTGACTTGCTAATTTCAAATTCTGTAATTAACTTGGTATTGCACTTCCTGAAGTTACTGTTAAATGATTTGGAATGTGGGGTTTGGAATGGCTATTGATAATTGTAAGTGGACATTATCCAATTAATTCATCTTGGTTTGCAATTTTCTTATCCCAAGATCAATCATACTAGGTTAATTGAAAACCTTGTATGATTACTTGTTGACAAATAATGGCTCATCATATATGCATAACTGTTGAATGCTTAGCTAAAAATTACCTTCATGTATGCACATGCCATTGTTTGGATACCTTCATTGAGTTTTGATACATATGCTTATGTATATGCGTATATATATTTGTTTAATATGACCTTAGCATTTTATATGAAATATTTGCAGGTTTTGTTGAGCCTCAAGAGAAGCCTGGCATTCTATCTACCATATTTCGATATTCTGAACCAGTAAATAGCCCAACAATAAGCCTCGAGGCTCTCCAGGTAATATGAAGCCAAGATAGAAATGTTTCATATGTGGATTGTATTGTTGACACTTGTTATTGTAGTTGAAGTTATTGATGCATGTGAATGCGGTGTTTAGGTCTATGTTGGATAACCAGTACATGCAATTTTTTATATTTTGGCAAGGGTTGGGGACTTTTTGATTAAACAATATGGTAACAATATGTTGTGTAATACTTGGATGAGTTAGTGAATGGAGGCCATTTGAGCATATTAAATTAATAAGCCTTAGTTTATGAACTATAAGCTTTGCTATATTTCAAAATAGTGTTGAAAGATTTTATGTTGGGCGGAAGACGCAGACTTAGTGACTTTCAAAATAGTGTTGAAAGATTTTATGTTTACCACAATCCAAGCAGGACTTTGAACTCAAATAGTACATCCAAACTAGGATTAAAATGACATTTATTTGGTTGGTAAATTATTTAATTACTAAAAAATATTACAATGAAGTTGAAAACCCATGCCGAAAGGCAAACAACCTTACACAGGCCTTAGGCGGAGACTGGAGTACACTCTGTGGTCTACTTGTCGAAGTTGATTCTAGTGAGGATTGTAGAGATTAATGTTTTTCTGTTGTATTAATGCAAGGTTCCCCCTTTAATGCCAAAACCGCTTAGCCTTCAGTTGTTGAGTGATTTTGAAGGAAGCTAGTGTGGTGGAAATTGGAATCAATAGTATATCTAAAGGAGGGTGATTGACATCAAGTGAGAGTAGCTTGTTAAGTCTTCCTATATATTTTGTCACTATTCATTATTCCTGTTTCAGCATCCTGACTGTTAGAATGGATTCTAAGAAACTTCATTCAAGGGGGTGGAGTTGATGAACACAAGTTTTGCTTGGTTAATCGAGTTACTGTGTGTTTCCCTATGCGAAGAGTTGGTTTGGGTGTTAATAGGTTTGTGAAATTCAACAAAGCTCTTTTAGGGAAGTGGTTGTTGGAGGTTTGCTTGTGAGAGGAGCATATTAGAGAGGAGCTTTGCTGACTAGATGTGCTAGTATTGGGTGGATTGGACCACTTTGGACATGGCAATCTCTTAGGGAGTGGGTGTATGAAGGGTATCCAAAGGTGCCAGGATGAATTCATTAAGAACATCCTTTTTGTGATTGGATTGGGGAATGCAATGAGGCTTTAGGATGATTCTTGGTGTAGGGAGAACCACTGATCGTGACTTTTTGTGTTTTTTGGTATTTCTCAGAGTATCAATGGTTTAGTATTGGATTTGGAGGTTATGATGAGTGGTAAAGATAGGGTGGTTTGGGATGTTGCTTTAGGAAAGCTTTGCAGGATTGGTAGGTTAATGCTGTTGTGGGTCCTTTGATGCCTTGTATAAAGTAGAGAATGAGATAAAATGGAAGGCTTCAAAACCTAGGAAGTTTGAAATCAATGGCTAGTCCTTTTCATTGGTAGGGGATAAGTTCAAAGTTATTATTAATTGGTGTTGTTTGTGCAAGTAGGATAGTGAATTGATAGACCACATATTCATTCATTATAAGGTGGCTAGGGAGATTTGGAGTTGGTGCTGCCTTTGTTTGGTGCAATCTCACATGGACTCGGGTATGGGTATTGAGTGTGGGTGCGTGTTCTGGCATCAAACCTCTCCAAATCTTAAATCTTTGGTACAGGGTTATGTATCCAACAGTTGGGTATGGGTACTTGAACTTGTCCTAAACATTTAAACATAATGCTCGGGGTTTTGGATGGTTGTTCTTTAATGATGTTCGTATGCTTGGGAGAACACAAGTTTGGGAAGGTTTAGGGTTTGTTGGATATACATGGACAAGATTGCGTGGTTGTGAAAGGCGTCGTTGGGATTACAAACGATTGGTTTATTGAGGAGGAAGAATTGGATTTTCAGAAGGTGGGTGTAGTGTTTGATGCTAATGTTGAAGTCTAAGCTAAAGTGCTTCTTTTCGTTGTGATTCCTCTGTGTGGAGTAGATCTTGAAAATGAAGGGGTGTTTGATATTAGTGGTGCATGGGAAATAAAATCTTATCAGAATATAGAGTGTCTTCCGTGTTTGGAAATGCATGTATTGGTTGCAGTACAACAATATGAAATTTTCAATTCGCCAAATAGGGAGGGGAGTAAGGGATTTATCATCTCATTTTGAAGTCGATGCTACAATTTCACGGGTAATTGAGAAAAGTTGATAAGGTTTGTTGTTTGAGGCATTATTGGGTTAACAGAACGGTGGACGTATAAAGGTGGATGTTAAGAGCAATGGTTGTACTGGTTTTGAAGTTTCTAGGTCAAATTTATATTTGGATGAGAGAGAGAAAGGTATGGAAAAATGTCTTTTAAGAAGAAGAGCTTTAAAAACTCCATTGTTCGATTTTGATGCTCAAAAGGATGTAGGATTTTAAAGGAGCTGTGTGAGGAAAAGTGTTTTTTGTCTGTGGATGAGTTTAAAAGCTAGTTTGAGGAAAATAATCCGTATATTAAATCTGTTGTTATTGGAAAGGCGGTAACAAGTGGAAGTTGATGTCTGGAGAGGAGAAAGCACATTGTGCAAGATTGGTAGATTTTTTTATGTTTATTAGCTGATGTATCTTGGTCTGATTTTGGGGTTGGGGTCTACTTTAGTACTATTTTCTTTTTCTTTTTTTTTAATTTTTTAATTTGGTTGTTTAAGGATTGTGCCCCCTTGGCATGTTCTCAAACACAACTTCTTCTTTGTTGTTGATCAAATAAGGCTATTGAAGCACATTAATCGTTGTGCATTGCAAGATTCTCTTATGATTTGCATATATATGAGATTCAACGTAGGGATTTGTGAGCAATTGAATTGTAAGATTCCAATTGGTAATTTTAAGATTGCGACAACTATCTCATGCAGTAATCTTAGTTACGAGCTTTGAAAGACACCATTATTAATGTTTCTCCATGTCTCCCTGCAGAATAGACTCCTGTCCTTTATTATAGGGGATGTGTTACATGGGCTTGAACGTTCAGTTTTGACCTTTGATATTTATGTTTTGATTGCTATTGTTTTGTGGATAAGTTCTTAAGCTCAAGCGTTTTTGCTGAAGGCTTTTACCTTTTCAATTGCACATGTTAATTTCCTTCTTTTTTAGATCATATTCTACATATATCTTATTTGTCTTCAAGTATTTCCATGCCATATGTTTAAAGCATATTATCTTTTATGCATAGTTTCTTTCAGGCTGTTAGAGCTGTGTCACATAACTATCCAGATATAATCGTTGTGTGTTGGGAACAAGTTTCATCTACTGTTCTTGGATTTTTGAGGCTAAATACTCTTGAAGTTCCAACTAGGCCTTGGAAGGATAATATCGGGAAAGTGGTGGGGTCAATTGGGGAAAAGGTCATGACGGCTGCAATCAAGGTAAGGTGTCCCATATTATATACTCTCTTATTTTGTGAGAATTTTTTTTTTTTTCTTCCCTTTTTATTTGGGTTATGGTCTTGTTATTTTGAATGGATAACACAACCTAGATTGAGAATGGCATTATGTCACTGAGAAATAATTCTCTTCCAGGTTGTGCTACAGTATGAATAAGCATATGAAGGGCATCATGGATGATAAGAATATGCAAGTCCTTTTTTATTGTGTTTAAAATTTGTGCATTATTAACAAAACATGAAGCACTAGATATTGTTAAGTTACCAATTTTCCCAAAAGCCTAAGCTATTAGGAAATGGGCCCGACAATGTATATTAAGCCACCTAACACCCTCTCTCATGTGTAACCCCGTCTTGCACGTGGAGAGACAAACAGAGAAGCAAACAACCAAACGGGGACATGATACCAAATGTGAATGGAGAGACTTGAACTCAAGACCTCTCTGAACCAAAGCTCTGATATTATTCCAAAGAACCATCAGAAAGAGTTTCAACCTTATAGACCCATTTACATCAGACAATATTCTTGCCAGTAGCTAGCGGAACCAATTCCCAAGTCTGAATTTTAGTCAAAGCAGTTAACTCATCATTCATGGCAGCAATCTAATTCGGATCATGATAGGCTTCCTTGTAGGACTTGGGCTCAAAATAAGTATGAAGACAAGAAAGAAAAGACTGATAGGAAGGGGAGAAACATTTATCACCAAAACAAGTCTATTTTGGGGATGATCGTCCCGCTTAGGAAAGCAATGTGCAGGAGGAGCGAGATTCAGAGAAGTAGTGTGAGGAGCAGTAGAACTAGCAGCAGGAGAGCTTGGAAGTGCTTTGTGACGCTTGTAAACAAGAAGAGGAGCAAGAGAAGGAGGAGCAGGCAATGGAACATAAGTGCTAGAATGAGGTAAGGTAGACACCTCAAGATCATAAACAAACTAATCTTGAGGAACATTAGGAGGAAATGGATCAATATGAATCAATTCATCCTTGCAATTGGAACAGGGGTGGCAGGTATAGTGTAGTAGGGTAGTTTTTCCGGAGAGGTGACATGTCTAGACAGATAGAGCTTTTTGGTCACGAGATCATAACATCGATAACCTTTTTGATGAATGCCATGTACTAAGAACACACATAGGACACAACAACTAAGCTAAGAGCGATCTTGTCATGGAAGAAGAACAAAGCATGTAGAGCCAAAAACATGAAGAGAATAATTTGTAATAGTACCCATAAGATGTTCATATGGAGAGGAACCTGAGAGAAAAGGAGTAGGCATCCAATTGAGTTTATTGAGTTCTTAGCTAGACATGGTACCATTCATAATCCTCTTGTTCTAATAATCCTTTACAAAATGGTCGAGCTAAAAGAAAATATCATCTCCATGACACCACTCGATCCCTTCTTCTCTCCTTGTCTGTTCCTTCCGACTTTTGGGGGAAATATGTACCTACTGCTGTCTATCTTCTTAATCGCATGCCTACCATTTTTCTCTCTAGTGCTTCTCTATATGAGCGTCTCTTTGGTGAGATTCTTAATTATTCTCTTATTCGTGTATTTGGTTCTACTAGTTCTGTTCTTCCCAAATGGGACCGTTCCAAGTTTAGCTCTTACTGTGTCTTATCTGTTTTCTTGGTATATGGTATTCATCAAAAGGGTTATTGTTGTTATGATTGTGTGACCAAAAAGATGTGTGTCTCGACATGTCACCTTTCTAGAGAAATTACCTTCACCCTTCTTTCAACTCCTGCTCTGATTGCCAGGGATGAATTGGTTCATATTGATCCATTTCCTCCTAATGTACCGCAGATGAGTTTGTTTCTAACCTCGAGGTGTCCACTTTGCCTCTTACCAATGTTGTAGATGTATGAAGCACGGATACTCTGAAATGGTCCCCGTACGCGTGGCGGATACGTATCGGATACGGATACACGTCCGATACAGTAGGATAGGTATTAGATACGGCAAAGAAGTATCTTATTTTTTTTTTTTTAAATTTTTTGAATTTCAAATACATTTGGGATACGTGAGGATACTTTCGGGATACGGTTGGGATACTTTTGGGATACAGTGGGGCGAAAAAATAATTTTAAAAACTTATAATGGGTGTCAAACTATAAAATAACAAAAGTAATGTAAAATAAAACAAAAAAAATCAACGAACCAACCTTAGGTCGCGACCAATTGCAGCAAAGGAGTCGTAGTCGTCGTCGTCGTCTCCATCAACCAACCAAGCCCTAGGTTCCTCGATCAGGGTCGTTGTCGTCGATCAAGTTCGTCCCTCTCTCTCTCTCGATCTCACTATCTTTCTCTCTCTCCCACTCCCTCTCGCTCGATCTCTCTGGTCTAGATAGATCTCGCTCGATCTCACTCACTCTCTCTCTCCCTCTCCCTCTCCCTCTATCGTCTCGCTATCTGTTTTTATAATACACATTTATTTATTTATTTATTTTCTAAAGTATATACTCTTGTTTTGGCCCCATTTGATATATGTTAGCTTTTGTACTTATAAAATTTTGGATTATTAGTTTAAAAGATTTAAAATAAGTTGTAAATGTGTTTGGTTATGAAAAAAGTTGAACTTATTTGACTAAATAAATTGTCACATTTTTTTTTTTTTTGTGCAAAAAGTATAAAAAATGTCCTAAAATTTTATAATCAAAACAAATGTATGTCACATTATTTGTTCATACATATTTAAGGATTTCAATGATGCTAAAAAAAACCCACATAATGTAGTTCAAAAAAATACATTGTCTTTTTTGGGCCAAATTACCTGAAAAATCAAATAAATTATAATTTACAATTGCAACTAAACACCATAAATTAATTTCTTATAAGGAAATAAATAAATAAACTTATTAATAAATAAATGAACTTTGTAATTCCCCTCCACTTCCCCCTTAATTTGAATTGCATTATGGTTGTTATGGGTGATGCATTGATGCTATATTGTTGGAATTGCTGAAATTTAATTGAATTGTTGAATATTTTTTTGATGTTCATGCCAAAAGATAATTAGGAATCTTACATTAATGTTTTGTTTTATTTCTTTACCAAATTTATAAATTTTAGGAAATGAGTTCGGGTATGGGAAGTTTAGGTTCAACAAGTGGTGTACACCAATGGAAGAAGATGTTCATGCTCCTCTTTGGTGTTATGTTACAAAACTAGAAAAAATGGGAGAAGAGGTGGTAATACCAAGTTTAAATACAATTAATGTCAAAATGAGTACAAGAGGTCATACTTTAGGGTCAAGGTACATTTGTTAAAACTTTCTGGCCATGGGATTAGAGTGTGCCCCAAAGTGACTCTGCAACACCTTGTTGAAATGCAAAGGAAAATTGAAGAAGTCGAGAAGAGGTTAAAGATGGCTATGCCTAAAAAAGTTCCTTTACCACCTTCCACTTGCCAATCTACTTCAACAGGTTCAGGGCCTTTAGATACTAGAGGATTTAGGATGGAGGGGTATGAGCCAAGAAAAAGAAAGGCTACTGGAACTTTTGCTCTAGAAAACGCATTCAACCCAGTTATTCGGGAACAATTGCATTCTGAGATTGCTCGCATGTTTTATTCAGCAGGGTTACATTTTCATTTATCAAGGAACCCATATTATGTTAGTACTTTTCAATTTGCTGCCGACAATCCAATTCTTGGTTATGTACCACCTGGTTATAACTTGTTAAGGACTACATTGCTTCAAAAGGAAAGGGCTAATGTAGAGAGGTTGTTGGAGCTAACTAGCTAACTAGAGCATCATGAAAGGAAAAAGGGTTGAGTATTGTTTCAGATGGATGGACTGATTCTCAAAGAAGGCCCCTTATTAATTTTATGGGAGCATCAGAAGCTGGGGCAGTGTTCTTGAAAGCTGTTAATTGTGAAGGTGAGCACAAAGACAAGTTTTTTTATTTCCAACTTAATTAGTTAAGAAATTGAAGAAGTTGGACATCAGAATGTCATTCAAGTCATTACAGATAATGCTCCTGTGTGTAGTGCTACTGGTTTACTCATTGAAAGTAAGTACTTGAATATCTTTTGGACACCATGTGTAGTTCACACACTGAATCTTGCTCTTAAGAATATCTGTGCTCCAAAGGAAACAGGGGGTACTATTTTTGCTTATGATGAATGTCACTGGATCACACTTTGTTGATGATGTGATTTTTATAATAACTTCATCATGAACCATTCCGTGCGGCTAGCTATTTTCAATGAATTTGTACCCTTAAAGTTGCTTGCTGTTGTGGACACACGTTTTGCATTTGCCATTGTCATGCTCAAAAGGTTTAAACTTATAAAGTGTGGCCTCCAATCAATGGTTATTAGTGACCAGTGGGTTTCTTACAAAGAAGACGATGTTGGGAAAGTAGCTTCTGTGAAGGAAAAATTATTGAATGATGTGTGGTGGGACAAGATTGATTACATTTTGTCTTTTACATTGCCTATTTATGAGATGCTTAGGTTTTGTGACACTGACAAACCATGCCTTCACTTAGTCTATGAAATGTGGGACACCATGATTGAAAAGGTGAAGGCAAGCATCTTTAGGCGTGAAGGGAAGCTAGATCATGAGGAATCATTCTTTTATTCCGTTGTGCACAATATACTAGTTGAGAAGTGGGCCAAAAGTAACACTCCTCTTCATTGCCTTGCAGATTCTTTGAATCCGAGGTAGTAACTTAATTCATTCTCTTACTAATTAGATTTCTTTGTTGACATTTGTCTTTTAATATGAATAACATAATTTAATTTTGAAACTTTCTAATGTTGTAATATAGGTATTATAGTTCAACGTGGCTCAATGAAAATCTCAATCGTGTCCCTCCTCATAGGGATGAAGAAATTTCAAGTATGAGAAACAAGGGCTTCAAGAAATACTTTCCAAATTTAGAGAAGAGAAGGGTTGTAAATGTGGAATATGCCAAGTTTTCAGGAGATTTGGATATGTTTGGAGATTTTGACTCAAAGATTGATAGAGGAGTATTGGATCCA